TTTCAAAATCAAAAGACCTTTCATTTGATAACAAAAAATGGGGCTGACCACTTAAATTAGGGGCTCAGAAGGGCCAAAACTCTTTAATCTATAACTCTCTAATGATCAAAATTTTTAATACATCACTGAAGCAAAAGTAGTCATCTTAATGATTTGCAACAATATATTATAAAATTTTGGTCATATTTTATGGATATAAGGGTTGCAAGGGGCCAAAATGCTTTATTTTTTTATGCTTTACGTCTCGAAAAGGGGAAACATTTTTATGAGCCATATTGAACAAAAGATGTGCAGACTATCGTGATAAATATCAGAAACTTTAAATTTGATGAAAAAAAACCTAGTGTCTTTCTCTTTTAACTTATATCTCAGTCAAAATCACATCTCATCTGATCGAGATATTCAACGGAAGACCTACTCGTTGCTCGCAACGAGCTCTCATCTAGTTAAGGTCTTCCGACTTCCTTCGGAAGACCTTATTGTTATTCGTCTGTTTTTTATTATTATTATTATTATTATTATTATTATTCTTTTTTTCATAGTTAGAGCGATATCTCAGCTGTGCGTGGATGGATTTAAAAGATTTTCACAGGGATGATGCATCATGAGAATATCTCCAGACGTGTTTTTTATTTTTTCGAAATTCACTTTCGTTCGCGATTTTTGGGGATTTTTGTTTTTTTTTAAAGGCATTTTGTCCAGCATTTTTCTCAAGAACGGCTTAAGATATGAAAGTGAAACTCACTGAGGTGATAGAAGATCGAACTCCATTATGGGGAACGACCTTTATTTTTCGCCGTCGGCACTTCCGGTCGCAAACGGAAGTGAATTCAAAAAGTCTCATTTTTCAACTTTTTTGTTTTTCAATATTTTTCTTTTTGATTTACAGGGTTTATAGTGTGTCTTATGAGAATTCTAAATATATATTTAGAATCTTGATGCGTGCATTTATTGAAAAGATATGATTGAACCAAACTTTGTTCCACTGTCGGGGGTTCGAATCCCGCCGTGGGCGTTCCCAAATTTTTTCTTTGTTTCTATCATTTTTCAATTGTAAATGACTTTTCTCACTTCTTATAACATGTATGAAATATTTTGCCGATTTTTGAAAGCTATATTAAAAGATATTTTGAGGTTTATCTGTAATAATCATGATATATGTTGAGAGACTGCTGTAAATGAACGTAAAGGGAAAAATACATTCTGAAACCTATTTCATGGGATGACACAGCATAGATATCTAACTTAAAGTCGGTCGGAAGACCGCTTGTTGCTTTAGCAACAAGAACGCATCTAGTTATTATTATTTTTCTTCTTCTTCTTCCTGGGTACTTTTTTTGTCCGGGAATGATCTAGTAAACTGTTCGTCCGATGTAGGTAAAATCTTTTTAGGGTCAGTAGACATGTTGTGTAGATTTGCGGAATCAAGGTCATTTTGCGCGCACGTGCTTGCAAGAGCACGCACGTGCAACACGTGAAATGACCAATATAATAGATATAGCCGCAACTTTTCTATTTTTTGATGAAATGCTTTGAAACTCATAATGTGAGGATATATTAGTAGCATAGACATGATGACATGGTCAAAAAAGCAAGATCTCACGCGCATGCACGTGCGCTTCGCTCTGATTGGCTGAAACTAAAGTCTCAATATCTTTCTTGTTTTTTGACAAAATCCTTTGAAATTTTGAATAAAGGCATGTATTAGGATATCCTACAACGTGATTTATAGCAATTGTCATGAAAACACGTGCATGCACGTGCGCTGCTCTCTGATTGGCTGAAATTTTAAATAGCTATAACTTCCTTGGTTTTCAACCAAACAGGATGGGATTTAGAACATAGATAGATATAATGAACTTCTACAAGAAGGTATGGTCAACATGCACATGCATACACGTGCATGTACATGCGCTGCAATATGATTGGCTTAAAATTTAAACAGTTATAACTCCCTTGGTTTTCAACCAAACGGGGTGGAATTTAGAATATAGATAGATGTAATGGACTTCTACAAGAAGGTATGGTCACCATGTTCATGTATGCACGTGCGTGCACGTGAAATGAGTAAAATCAAAAATACACTTGAATGATGGTATTTTTTAATACTTTTGGATTAAATACTTTAATATTTAGTACATTTAATATAAAGATTGTGTAGACAAGATTATACGGTCATTACGCACATGCATTCACATGCGCACGCGTGCAATGCTAAAATTTGAATGAACTTTGTAAACTTCTGGGTAAACGTTGTTAAAGTCTCAAATGCATAGGGTTTGTCTTATTTAATGAAGTTTACAACGAATATGGCACCAAAAGGGAGTTGGGGAGCGTTTGGGGAACATCTGTAACGGTCCCCGTTACAATTAGCACTAGTTGCTATTTGTTTTTGTCTGTTTTCGTATGTCGTTGAGATTTTAAGCTTCTCTGGAACCACTGAACCAATTTCAGCCAAATTTTGCATATACATGTAGCATAATTTATGAGTGACAGGGAACAAAAATTTAGAATTTCATGCCCCCTCCCCCCTGGAACCTGAGGGGCGGGGCCAAAACCACTAAAATTAATTCAATCTAGAAAAATCTTCTCCTTTACTCATAGCCATCAAACAGTCAAACTTTTTGCATGATTGTAATAAAAATTCAGTCCTCTACCAAAATTGTGAAACTCATGGCCCCGGGGTCAGGGGTTCTGGTTTAAGGGCAGGACTCTTTTGATTATATAATGAAAATGCATTAATTCTTTGAAAATCTGTTTTCTCTGTCCCTGAGTGTTAAACAAACTAACTACGTAGATAAATGTATTAATAATGATAAAAGGTGTCTCTTATAACATGTATAAATTTTGAATTTCATGGTCCCAGGATGAGGGATTCTGGTGTTAGGGTTCGGCTATATTTATTACAGTTGTATATAGTGAAAATGCGTAACTTCTTTGAAAATCTTTTTTCTCTGCCCTGGGTATCAAACAAACTAACTACATGTACATACATACATGTACTAGGATTGGTAATTCGTAATCGGTTAGTCGAAAAAAATAAAATTGAACAAAATTTTCTTTAAATTTTTCGTTTTTCAAACAAGAATATATATATTTCAATATTGTAACAATTAACTGGTTAATCAGTTGAAACTTGTTGCAGTTAACCGATTAGCAATTCTGCATTTTATTTCCATCCCTTAAAAATACTTCTGATGAAAAAAATGTGACTCTTCCAAAATTGTTAGTTTCCTTGTCCCTGGGTAAGGGGTTCTGGTTCCATATTCATGAGACAGACTTAGGCTGAAGTCAAATTTTTAATCGCTGTAGAATGTTTATTAATGACTTGAGATACTAACAATACATAAATGGTGCCTGTTTTAGAGGGTAACAGTTGAAATTGGCACCCCAAGGAAAACTATTGTCAACCGACGCGTCAGCGGAGGTTGACAATGGTTTTCGAGGGGTGCCAATTTCAACCGTTACCCTGCAAAACAGGCACCATTAATTTTATTATACTGAATGTCTTCTTGATTAAGGATGTCAGAAAAAAAATCGTCGATCGTCTTCACGTTCCCGTTTAGAAAGCTTTCAAACTCCCCGCTACTTCGAAAAAGATTTACTGACCTCTTTATTGTTAATTTGATACTCTAAGAGTCCTTTATCATCTAAAGGTTCGTTATTTCTCTACTCTCAAGCATATTTCGTCTGTCGTTTGTTGTTTTCAAGTTAGCTACTTCGGAGACAAGCTTTTATTGACGTCAAGTTTCTCCGGTTCTTTCAAACGCGCAACTAACGTTTTGAGAATTCTACGGTGAACCGCAGGCGCATAACTTCCAAATGGCATGCATGTGGCATTACCGTTGTGTTACCCGTTGCCACGTGTGTTGCTACGGCGGGTAATAGAACGGATTAAACAAATCAGATTGTAGTATTTAACATGAAAGTATAAAAATATATAATGTGCATAGGCGTCGGAATCGGAGGGGGGGGGTGGGTCCCCCTCTCCCTTCGTTATTTGCAAAAATAGACATTATATAGGCATTGAAAGTTGGGATTTACTTTTTTGTTGAGTTATGCCCCCCCCCCTCCCCCCTCACTTTCAATTTGCTTATTATGCTCATATATATGTGGGGAAAAAAACTATAACACTCATACAGAATACTACACATGTTCTACATATACATGTGCAGTACTGTATGTACATGCAGTATATTTGTAGATGTGCATATGCAGTATACAATTTTTACATGTTTTTAAATAAATATTACTAAAACCAAACACTCAATCCTTATAAAAGCTCTTATTCAAATTTTGTGATTTCAAAATGAAGACACAATTTTCTTCCATTTAATTAAATAAGCTGGAGAGAAGTATGTTTTGTAATAATGGTCAACAATAATATGTTCTTTATTTTTATTTACACAGAACACAGACTGTAACAAGATGAATGGAGGCTACATGTACATGTATACAGTTGTTAACAGATACAAAAAATCAGTGTTGTAATGGTATACAATTCTCTGTTACTATTTACAACCATGTCACAACACACTGTAGAAAGAAAACATAAATTATAATGTTGGAGTATGCTGTGTAAATTATCAAGTTGTTGAATTCTACTGGAAAAGATGACATGTAATATTTCAAATGGGTTCATATGATACTTTTGTTTTTTAAGTAATCAAAACCTTTAGTATTCAACGATGCTTCAATTTATCAATATGGATTATTTAGATCAGACTAATGGTGAACAGTTGGACCCTGCAAAAGAGAGATTTGTAAAGGATTCAGTACTCAGTGTAAAGGTATTTATGTTTATCTGTGTCTAAATTCAATATAATTCTTCATGTTGATAAAAGTAAGACATCATTGATAAATGCCTACATTATAAAAAGAGAGACGTGTAACTGATGTCTATAATTGTAGTACACTGTTGTAATTTACAGAGAGATCTCCCTGACTGAGGAAATCCACACAGGATTCTGTTTTGAAACATCAGGATAAAGAAGATATAAATGTCTGTGTCTGTGATGTATAGAGCAGTATTACAGAGATCTGTCACAGTGCCAGGTGTTAGTGGGTGTAGTCACATTACACACGTATCACCAGACCGGGTCTGGATCAGTGATAGAAATCTCACTCTAATAAACACAAGAGGGGAGGAACTAGACAGTGTGACAGATATAGGTAGTTATTATGGAGTACACACTGTGAATTTTTATGGTGATTTAATTTATATAGACAGTGAATTAAACATCATTAAACGGTCTAAAGATAAAGAAAAGACGACGATAATAAAGTACAAAACTTCACCATGGGAACCACAGAGTGTCTACAGCTCCCCCTCCACTGGAGACCTGCTGGTCGGGATGTGGAATTCTTACTACACCAATATTACATGTTCAGGCACGGTAGTGCGGTATAACTCCACTGGAGAAAACATCCAGACAATACAGTACAAACACAACACAGGTCAGGGACTGTATAGTCAACCTATCTATATCACAGAGAACCGCCATGGAGATGTTATTGTGTCTGACTGGGGCCGTGATGCTGTAGTGGTGACAGATAGTGGTGCTGTAGTGGTGACAGATCGTGACGGTAATTACCGGTTCTCCTACACAGGTCCTCCATCAGGATCAGGACTAGCACCATGGGGAATCTGTACTGACAAGATGTCACACATCCTGGTGTGTGATGTTAACGCAAAGTCAGTACAGATGTTAGATAGTGACGGTCAATATCTCACAGATATACCGATATCAAAACACGGGATAGACACACCACTGAGCCTGAGTTATGATGATGTCACTCACCTACTGTGGGTAGGGGCAGTCAACAACACAGTCAAGCTATACAGAGTGGTAGATACAGACTCTCTGACTGGTAAGTAATATTGTAGTCTGTTTGATTGTATTTTATAATTATAATATTGATACTAATCAATAACACCATAATGTTAGGGGGATTATTTAAGAATAACTAGTTACTGTACCAGTACATGTACATGTATATATTCAAGTGTTTATTTACCAGACGAGTGTTTAAGTTTAATCACTCAATGATTAATTAGTATGCTAAACAACAAACATGAGATGGTAAAGGGTAAAGATAAAGTTTATGAATACAAACACGATAAAAAGATTAAAAAGAAGTGATAGATTTACATATGTTTATCATTAATTTTATAGTGTCCATGTGTTGTGTGTAGTTCTTCAATCACTGATTCATGTACATTGATGTTTGGTTCATAGATTTTTGTACAATATAAATCAGATTACTGATATACTGTCAATGGTGAATAATTACCAACTTTTGAAATCTTGTTTTGTTTTGTTCGATAAATACAATGAGTGAAGTATGATTCATTTTTGAGAAGTAGTTAGTGAATTAAATTTTTAAATCTTTTCTAATTATTATAATAACAGGCTTAAGTTTTATAGTGTACTAGTATTCAGTTTAAGTAAATTCTACCATGGTTACATTTAAAACAGATGACAATTTGTACATGTTGTACTGATGTTGACAGTTTGATATAGACACCATTGATATTAACACAGCTCTGTCTAGGAATGTTGTGTATTTCTGTAGCAGGTGTTCAGTAAATCTACACTGTGTACTGAGTTGACATTTTGTGTAGGAGAGAGTTCTAGATGAGATATAGAGATAATTGAACAGTATTCAAGCTTAAAATTCATAATGAAGTTAAAGATTCACTTCAACTTTATGAACAAAAAGTTAAATTCTAAGACACCAAAGAATACGCCTAAATACATCTACAGTGATCATTTTTAGTAACTTGCTTATGAAAGGGAGACAATCCAATCTTGTATTTGAAGGTGAAGAAAAAATTAAGTTACCTCCCATTAAGGCATTTCATTATAAAGGTGTAAAAAATAATTCCTGGAAAAAAATTAGCTTCCTGCCTTAAAGTAGTTTGTCCATGATTACTGCCTGTATCAAATGTAATTACAAGATATGGTGAAGAAGGAAATAATTGTATATATATTTATCATTAGATTTATTCTGTTCATTTGGAACCATATGTATCTCAATTACATGAATTTAAGAGACCGAAAACCCCTAACTGATAATGCACTGAAAGTGTTTTATTTGTACACTGTTATACAAGCATTGAGGTCACTGACAGAAATATGTAGGGTTGATTTTTGTGGTTTACACATATTGGTACTTGGGGGCTGGAGGGAGGCTGGGGGTATGGGGGTTGGATTGGGGGGGGGGCGGGGTATATGGTATATGATTGTCCAAGTTCAAGTTATGTTTTTAATTATTGTGATGTTAGAACTTAAACGACTGAACACTTATACTGCATACACACTATTTATGAGCAAATAATTGGATTTATACTTTTTAGCTCACCTGAACCGAAGGCTCAAGTGAGCTTGTCTGATCACATTTTGTCCGGTGTCCGTCTGTCTGTCCGTCTGTCAGTAAACGATTCACATTTTCGACTTCTTCTCAAGAACCGCTGGGCCATTTTCGACCAAACTTGCCCCAAAGCAGTCTTGGGTAAAGGGGATTTAAATTTGTTCAAATAAAGGGCCATGCCCTCATTCAAGGGAAGCTAATTGAGAATTAGTGAAAATTTGGTTGTATGTCTTAAAAATTTTCTTCTCAAGAACCACTGTGCCAGGAAAGATGAAACTTATGGGGAAAGATCCTCAGGTAGTGAAGATTGACGTTTATTCAAATCGTGATCCCCAGGGGTTTGGCGGGGCCACAATGGCTGACCAAAGTTTCATATAGAAATATATAAGTAAATTCTTTAAAAAATCTTCTTCTCACGAACAGCAAAGCCATAATTGCTCATATTTATATGGAAGCATCCCCATGTAGTGTAGATTCAAGTTTGTTCAAATTGTGACCCCCGGGGGTAGGGCGGGGCCACAATGGCTGACCAAATTTCAAATCATGACCCCGGGGGTAGAACGGGGACAAACTTTTGGATTTAAACTTTTCAATAGTAAACTAATTACTACTTTTTCCCAGCCACAATGCTCGGGTGAGTGATGTGGCCCATGGTCCTCTTGTATTTTTTATTTACGCCCCTGGCCCACTCTGAAAATTGTGTGTGTGTCACGGTTTTGTGTTTTTTATTGGGAAAGGGGGTGTCCTTGTAAATTTCATTGGAGTTGCGTGAGGAAATCTTCCTTGACACAAAGGTTGCATACCAAATTGTGGAATATTATAACTCTTATAGGTCATGTGAGTTTGGCTAATGGCTAAGGTCATCAGTACTTTGTTAAAGTGCATTTTTAATTTAAGGTACATTCGCCATGGATATTTTCTTGAAGCAAGCAATTTAACATTGATTTGTCATCCACGTGATGATTAAAAAGCTTATCATTTGATCTAAGGTGATATGTCACCAAAAGTTATGTTGGCGAGTTACAGGCAAAATAGAAAATCATTTTTGATATAGTCATACTCAAAGAGTGCTAAGTAAATTATATCTTTAGGTAAAAATAATTATGAAAAATGTACTGGTATTTAATATTTTAATATTAATAATTCTAAAATTGATAGAAGTAATTAATGATAATTATTAATTTATTTTTGTATTGTTTGAATGTATCGTATACATGTATGTCAATGTATTGGTAACAATAAATTCCCATACAATTACATTTAATCATTGTAGATCATAGATCTTATAGTAACCTTTTATCAGCACCATTGACAAAATGTACTTCCTTTGTATATCTTGGCATATATATGATATAATCACATATATTGTTCTTATAAATGTAAATACATGTAATATCTAGATTTCTTTTCTTAGATTGTCTGGACTCCAAGAATTTCTGCTCCAATATACTTCAATATCATAATAATTAATGAATTTGTTATATTTAAAAAAAAGAATGATTATTTACAATATAAAACTTTTATTTCTAACAGGAGTCCCTCTGGAGAACATCAAATGTAGAAAACATCCCAGAATTCCCCTGGACCAGTTCTGTACCGCGTGTGGTGTTCCCTTGTGTGTGGAGTGTACCAGCTCTGAAGATCACAGCAGACATGACCTTAGAAATATAGAGACATTGTTTGACAGCATTCACAGGATAGAATGTACATATGTATGAGTTTGAAGCTGTTTTAGAATTTGATACATGTAGCAAATGAAATATATTTTAAAGAATGACTTTCATTCTGCTTTAATTATCAAATAAAATATTTATTTCTATGACCTTTCATGGCCTGAGCCAAACACCAAATGAGTAATCTGATCAACGACTGTAGGCCCATCCATTTAATAATCTGCCTTATTGTCTATAGGTTTGTCTGTAACAAACATAAAGGAGGTATATATGGAGATCACGTTGTTATTTGTCTGTCTAGCTGTTCATTTATGTCTGTACGATTATGTCCAAATCAAGATTTATTATGGTGAAACTCCTGTGATCGGGAGTTCGAATCTCGACTGCGACTGACCTAGTAAGTCAATCAAATGGGTAGTAAAAGTTCCTTTGCCATGCCCTCAGCACATGAAGTGAAAGTTACAGGTCTTTCGGATGAGACCTTATAAACCGATGTCCCTTGTCACGCCAGGTGTTGGCAAGATAAAGAACCCTCACTGCTCAATGGCCCTAAGTGCCGAGTTAAGATCAAAATTTGAAGAATTTCACCCGTACATGGTGACGTCACCACATGAGTGAAATATTCTCAAATGGGACGTAATACAACATACATTCAATCATTCAATTATCTGTATATATTTCTTGTTTATTTGTAGATGGAGATGAACTTTTGATGTGCCTTCTTCTTTCCAATTCTTACAAAATAAACATGAAAGACGAAAACTGGATGACCAAATATAATTCTGTTGCCAAAAGTTTTCGTTTGAAGGAAATCTCAAAGCGATTTGGTCATGAAGATTTAGAAAAATACGAACCAATCATGAAACTCAATGAATCGGAGATCAGTTATTCCAATGAGCTCTTCAAAAATATCAGTTTCCTGAAATTCTCAAAGAAGTCTGGCTTCACTGAAA